GGAAGGAGGGAGGGAGGGAAGGAGGGAGGGAAGGAAGAAGGGAAGGAGGGAGGGAAGGAAGAAGGGAAGGAGGGAGGGAAGAAAGAAGGGAAGGAGGGAGGGAAGGGCCTAGGGTTTAGGGGTTTGGGGGTTTTCGGTGCCCAGCGGGTTTATGGAGGGTTTAGGGTTTGGGGTTTACGGTGCCCAGTGGGCTCATGGAAGCCTCTTCTTCGCCAGCAGGAAGACATGGGCGTTGCTGGCAAGAGGGCCTGGCAAGCCAAGCAGAGCCCCGAGTCGAACTCTCGTATAGGGGATTTAGGCTTTTAGGCTTTAACATCTTAAAAGCTAAGACGAAAACGCTTAAAGTTTTAACACGTGGAACTTACAGTTTAAGATTAAGGGCTGCAGCGGAATAACAAGTTTGTCAATATGGTTTGTAGTTTTGTGCTCACTCATACAACTGCAAACCGACATTGGAGACCCCAAGCGCAACTTAGTTTCGAAGGTAAAATCTCGACACGGGGCGGGGAAGGGGGGATGTCAACGTTGTCGGCAACTATGCGTCCCGAGGGAGACGCCACCCCCGACGCCTGCACAGCCGACCGCAATGAGCCCATGGAGGGTTTAGGGCTCAGAGTTCATGAACCAGACATCATGTTCATGATAATCTATCCTTGGCAGTCAACGCGAAAGTACCTGAAGCGCCAAATACCCCAGGTCGCAAAACCTTTCAACCGAAGCCCTAAACCCCAAAATCTTATAGAACCCTAAAGACTTCTTGCAGGCGCCTGATGAAGGAACCCTTATTGAGCTTTTCAGGATCCCTTAAAAAATTTAAGGGGTCCTGAAAAGCTCAATAAGGGTTCCCAACAGGTAAACCAAAAAAGGTGCGGCACGAGCTTGGGGAGTGCCTCGCCCCAAGGCCACAACGAGTCGCCGCCACGGCAAGGAAGCCAAGCCCTCAAGGAGGCAATCCTGCTTAGTTTAGAGTTCAGGGCTTTCCTAAACCCCAAAGAACCTACCCTTTTATGGGCCTGTATATGGAAATCATAATAAGGAACCCTAAAAAGGTAGATTCTTTGGGGTCCAGGTTGAGTATATGTAGGGTGTAGGGTTTCGAGCTTAGGGGTGCGATATGAAAGAAGAGGAGTTAAGGTCAGCATGCGCATGTCAGATCATGCCGGCTTAGCACAAATCAGACAGCAACTGGTTCAGCTCGTGGGGCTTTGATTTTCGGGTTGCGGATCTAGGTTTCTGGGATTTTGCGTATTCAGGGTTTAGGGCTTAGGGATTCAGGGTTTAGGGTTTAGGGGGTTTAGACTTTAGGGTTTAGGGACTCAGGGTTTAGCGATCGTAGCCCCTGAACTGCCTGGAATTGAAGAGGGCCGGGAGCTCGCGTGTCCAGGCTTCATGGCTTTGACCCGATACTTGTGACAAGGGTTATCCCTCTACGGGCTCGCTTCGAAGCCCAAGACCGTGAATTTACTCAGGATTGTATTTTTGAGTCTTGGGAGTTCACCTCGTACGCTACTTGCATGTTTAGTGATGTTCACAGGCACGGTCTAGAATTCTAGAGTTCCATGTGACCACTTACTCGATCGGGCTTGCGTATGGTCGGCCTTGTCGATGGTCTTGTTTCTTGTGATCCATTCACCAGGACATACCATGCCCTTTGCCGGCTGAACCGTGTCACAGAATCTGAGACGTTTCTGCAGAGTGTTGAAAGAATGTTCTGAAGCAGCAGTTATCATGAGGAGAGCTGTTCCAGAGGGCTGCGTCACTGTCTCCTCGAACTGTTGAGAGAATGTCAGGTACGGGCGTGTAGAACAAGCTGCTTCGGCTATATTGCACTTTACTTGTAAACCCCAAACCCGAAACCTAATCAGAAGGGAACTTTAGGGGGATAGTGTCGGCAACCTCCGCAAGCCAAAGCACGAAGCCTCGGGTGGGTTTAGGATACTAATCCCCAACACACAAATTACCGTTTTGGGGGGGCAGAGGGCTTAGGGTCTAGGGCCTGAGCGCCCTCGTTGGGTTCCGAAAAGAAGACCAGCACACCTGTCAAGAGTCTTACTGATGATGCTGCGATCAATATGAAGGAGATGACAAAAAGTAAAACAAACGATAGCAGAGACTAGCGACAACAGAGCCATCCAGGTCGCTCTGCTCTTGGTAGTAGACATGAGATCAGAACCGCTATGCTGCAAAACACCCGTACTTGTTAAGTATTTCAACAAGAATTGATGGGCCCCGGGAACCCTAATCAAACCCCAAACCCTAATCATTAATCAAACCCCAAACCCCATACCGACTTAGCCCTGACAGCGGGAAGCCCCCGGCCTCGCCCCTGAAACCCCATAAGACCCATTAGCCTCCTACAGTATGCCCCAATACTAAAGCCCATAAAGCCCAAAAATCCCGCATGAGCCCGATAACCCGTTTACTAAACCCTAAACCCGAAAAGCAGATATATCATCAAGGCGAAGGCTCCGGATACTTGCACTTGCCGTCTCGGCTCTTGCTCCAGGGCGATTCGGTGCCTTGGGCTCTCGATTTTATCTTGCTTGGGTCCGGTTTCGGGGGTCGGGGAAGAAGTTCAGGCTGGGTGCAGTCGCGATTGACCCTCATTCCTGGGAACAGTGGGTGCTGCGAACCTTCACACGGGACATGCGGACTGTCGAATCTTGCTCTGTGTGTTTCTGAGCACTGCTACCCTGACGATGTAGATGTAGCAGTAGTAGTAGTAGTAGTAGTAGCAGGAGTAGTAGTAGTAGTAGTAGTAGTAGTAGTAGTAGTACACGACTACGACTACGACTACGACTATGACTACGACTACCACCACGACTTCGACCCAGTTCTCATCATTTTGAGTTAACACTGTTAGCTTTATACTGGTAGTGGTATTAGTCGTCGTCACAGTAGTGGTAGTGGTAGTGCATCAGCAGCATCGGCGGAAGCAGCATCATCTGCCGCCTTCGTCGCCATCGTCGCCTTTCTCGTCGTCAACTTCCGCGCTTCCGTTCTTGACTTCGTCTGTCTCGGCGACACTCTACTCGCGATGTCAGCCACTGATGCCGGTGTTGTTGTGATCACTCTACCGATCCTTGTGGGCGTTTCCACTTGCTGCCGCCACTTGCCACGCCGCCGTCAGCATACCATAGACAACAGCTGATTGCGGGTAGGTGGAGGGAAGTAGTAGCAATGCGCTGGGAACGGGGGAAGAAGTTGTAATAACCTTGTCGTAGAAAACATCTCGAAATCGACCACTCACTCAGCCAGGCTTCAGTTGATGCTGCCGCGGCTTCCAGTCGCCATCACGGTGAAGCTGGAACACGTCGAAATCGTCCGGCCTAAGATATAGAGGACGAACGGTTTGGGGGAATAAGAACCCCTGAGGAAAAGTATTATGAAGAGTCTGGGGATGGGCATCTGGCGATCCTCTTCCAGGCCTTGTCCTGTGCTGGGAAACTGCAACTTCTGAGGCTTTTGTCGACGATGCAGATGCTTTCTACATGTGGGCCTTTCAGGCTCGACAGCTGGGGCGCCCCTTTTAGAGGACTAGCTTCGTGTAGCTGTTGTGCAGAGCCACGGATCGAGCGACCGCGCTCGTGCAAAAGGTGACAGGGCACTGAGCCCTTCTTCAGTTTGCTTGCTGTTGTGACTGATCGATAAAGCTATTTCTTGAGAGCCCAATTCCTACCATTGCAGCTACTCGCTGCATTGGTAGCGGAGCAGTGCTCGCGCCAGGGAACCTCGCGATCATCACAGCAAGGTTTACTCCTTTGCCTTTTTCTGGTTACTGACCCAACTGACGACGACTCCCTTTTCTACCTGGTCAGTACCGACCTGTCAGCGAGACAGTTTTGTCTCTTTTCAGTTTTCGGCTGCCGAGATGGCGGATGTGAATGACAGATCGATGGTACCTTCCTGGGACGGATCAGCCCGCACTTGGAGGAAGTATACTCGTGAGGTGAGTTGGTTTGTGCAGAGTACTCCAGTGCACAAACGGAGGTATTGTGCCTCCAAGTTACTCACGAGGCTGACAGGCCCAGCAAGGCTTCTGGCAATGAGCTGGTCACAGATGGATTTTGATGCCCCCTCAGGTACCAAGGTCCTTCTGCAGCGCCTAGCGGCCTCACCCTTGGTGCGCCGTTCACTCCCCAACGCAGCGGCGATCTGTCAGCAGTACTTTAGCTTCAAGCGGCAGCCTCAAGAGTCGATTGGAAATTTCTTGGTACGAGAAACTTTGGTTCATGAGGAGTTTGTGGAAGCGATCATCAGGTTGCACGAGGAGAAGTTGGGTGTCTCACAAGCCGATCGAGACTTTGGTTTGCCCGAGGAGACAGAATGGAGGGATGATGCTGATTGGAACTCGTGGTATGATGGTGGCAGCTGGGGCATGGAGGACCCCGACGACCCGGACAGCCGTCCACTACCTCCTGACGGTGATTCTCCCCAAGTTGACGGTGAACCTGCGGCTCCTCCTGAACGCCGAGATGATCATCCACAAGAACCAGCGCCAACGCGTGGCGCAACAGGCTCCTCACCGAGCCACCGCCAAGCAGATGCAGGCTCCACGACGGGATCGAGACATGGAGAGACTCCACCGGTCACCAAGACCCCCTTAGACGAGATGTCGATTGCCGACTCCTTTATAATGGACGTCTTGAGAGGCTGGAGATTGTTGCAGGCAGCAGGGTTGAGTGCTGAGGAGAAGGATTACCCTGTGATATCTTCAGCATTGCAGAGCCTCTGGGATGACCAACTGCTTGGAGGGCATCGCTTGTCTCATGGACCCTTCAACGCCCACTACCTCGACGCCCCGGACGAGAACTATGCGAACTATCAGCATGAGTATGACGACTGGTGGCAAGATGATGATTCTTGGTGGTACGATGACAGCTATGATGATGTCTATGCTGTGGATCAGTGGCGTGAAGATGACTGGCACCATGAGGGCCAGCATGCGATGACTCCCGAGCCTGAGGACCCAGAAGCAATGGCCAAGCTGCAAGAGGCTCAGAGCGCAGAACGTATCGCCGAGTCCTTAGCTGCAGAGGCGACCCGCACATGGACTGAAGCTCAACGTGCGACCCAGGCTCTTCGTCGGGATCGAGGTTTCGGGTCGCCAAGCAACAACCCGGCTGCTGGCAAATGCTTTTTGTGCGGTGGAAATCATTTTGCACGTGAATGCCCTGATCGACGGCATCCCGGTGGCAAGGGACGTGGCAAAGGCTACTTCCGGAACTTTGCCGCGGATATGGACGACGCCTACGCCTACTACTTCAACAAGGGCAAGGGCAAGGGTAAGTCCAAGAGCAAGAAAGGAATGGTGCTTGAGGCCCAGGCTTGGATGAAGGGCAAAAAGAGCCGAATGAAGGGGTCGGGCAAAGATGCGACTTCGGGACACCGGAGCGTCAACGCCTATGCCACGGACTTGTTCCTGGGTGGATTGGAGGTCTCTGAGGCGATGGCTGCTGGCGACTCGCAGGCGGCACCCAGTACGGGAATGATTGACTGCGGGGCCACGGCTTCTGCGGCTCCTGAAGCCGTTGTTCGCAGCTTAATCGCTGCAGTTCTCACCTAGGATAAGAGCGCCAAGATCGAACTT